GTTTCCCCTCTTAAATTAGAACAGTAAGCTCTTGGGGCGCCTGGATGGCGCAGTCGGTTGAGCGTCCGACTTCAGCCAGGTCACGATCTCGCAGTCCGTGAGTTCGAGCCCCGCGTCAGGCTCTGGGCTGATGGCTCGGAGCCTGGAGCCTGTTTCTGATTCTGTGTCTCCCTCTCTCTCTGCCCCTCCCGCGTTCATGCTCTGTCTCTCTCTGTCCCAAAAATAAATAAAACGTTGAAAAAAAAATTAAAAAAAAAAAAAAAAAGAACAGTAAGCTCTTCTATTTCCTGTTATCTTTGTTCTGTCCTTACTTCTGTATCTTTCTTATTGTACCCTGCACACTCTGTGCCTTATAAGGATTTTTAACTCAACAACTTGCATTGATCCCAGCGATTCCAAACTAACTCTTAAGATCATCTTGGCAAAGGGGTGCCAAGGCTGGGCTAACCAGGAAAGTCACCCAGAATTTTTTAAAAAAGTAATAAAAAGTTGAAATTCAGCTGGGTCCACCCACACACATACCCAGGGAGTTGCCCAAGACTCACCACTGTTTGCTGGTGCTGTTGAAACTTAAGGCTGACATTCTGGATCCAAAAAAAGGAGCCGATCTTTAGCTCCGCCTGCAGCTTCCGCTGACACCACTTGGTGGCCAACCGGACCACAAACCACCTGCAGAAAAATCCTTGTGAGTTCACAGGACCCTCTCCCAATTTGGGCTTTCCTCATTCCTTGCTGGTCCTAGAAAGCCTTGCAAAAAGGTCATGTCCTAAAGCTGGATCTTCTGGGCAACTCTCCAGTCTCCCAAAACAGCATTCTGTCACTTACACTCAGCCACAAAGATCAAGACCCTAATTCTGTAGTGTCCCCTTCACCCAGATGAAATCAGACAAACTACAGTCCACCTCCTAAGTTGGGGACAAAGAAAGCAATCCTTCCAACCCTTAGGAACCCCAGATGAAGAAAGAAGAGGCAATAGGATTCGAAGTACAGGCAGCTGTGTCAGATGTGCCATCAAATACTCCCCCACACAGTCCATGTCTCCGCCCTCTAGACAGGTGTCAGAGAGAAGGCGGTGGGGTCACACCCGGCCGGCTCAAATGCCGTTCTCTCCTGGGCAGCCAGACCTGTTCCGGCTCCTAGGGCGAGGCTGCAGGTGCCCTCTGCACTCGGTGAAGGGTACACTCAGGGGCGTGTGGAGGGAGAGAGAGACCACCAAGCCGGGGCCCCTCTACACACACACACACACACACACACACACACACACACA